ATCAGGAAGACAGCATGTGCCCTGGAGTTGCTGTGATGGAGGGGTACTTACCCACGGGGTCATCCTCTCCAAACCCACAACCCCTGCCCAACCATGGAAATTATCAGAAAAAGCCCAAGGGAGGGATCTTCTATAAAACGCCTTGTTAGTACACGTCAGTGAAGTCAAGGTCAAAAACAAGAAAAGGATGAGAAAGCGTCACAGCCAGGAGATACTAAGGAGACATAATGACCGAATGTAACGTGGTATCCTGGGTGGAATCCTAAGGCAGAAAAGAGACATTAGGTGAAAGCCCCCCACTGCCTGAGTCTTCCCGGCCCAGGTCTAGAAAGGTACAGATGGAGGCCTCTGAGGCGTCTCCAGCCCCAGCTGTCACACGTGGATATTGTGGATTCATGCACAAAGTCAATGTCGTTGTTTTAAGTCACTACATGTTGTGGTTTGTTATGCAGTGTTGGGTGAATGGAACAACCGGTCTATAAAACCGACTCTGGGGAATGATTGATTGATGGATTGGTTTCTTCTACACACAGGTGCTGGGCAGTGGAAAGAGACTCACAAGACCTCATTCCTGCTCTTGAGTGGAAGGTATCTTCTGAGCAAGAGGTCCCTCTTGTCCATTCCTAGATCAATGAATCAAGTTTCCTGCTTGCTGGGCTGAACTCCGGCACAAAAGATCCTGAGCAGGGAAATGACCAGCCGGAGGCTTAGCCCCAAAGGCCAGTGACAAAAATGCAGAATCCCAGGCCTGACTCCAAATCAACTGGACTGAGATCTCCAGGGGTGCTGACTAAGAACCTGTACTTGGAGAAGTTCCACACTGCCCGAGAACCTCAGGCACAGGATAGGAAGGGGGTACACTATGAGAGCAGGTGAGTAGGCCAGAACACACAGATTTTGAAACAAGAAAATAGAGGGGAAAGCCTGAGGTGTTTAGCTGTATTATTAATCCACATCACCACCCAGGCCACTGGTTCCCATTTCATGAGGGAGAATATTAACCTCAAAGAGGCAGCAAGTCTCCCAATCTGGCTGACTTCAGCTCAGGGACTTTTTACCTCCATCCCAGTGGAATCCATTCAACAAAACGCTTTGATTTTTTTCCTTCTCCCCAGTCTCTTACAGTCACTTCAGGTAGTGTCCTGCGCTGAAGTGGGCTGAAGGCACAGAACAAGTGGCCAGTCCTACATCGCCCAGGGAGCCAGTGCCAAGAACCAGTGTGTGGGAGGTTTTCACACCAGCTTTACACAATTGGAGTAAATCAAGTCTCTTTATGTGGCCAAATTCAGTGTTATTTTCCAGTTGGGAGTTTTGTTTGCATGTCTGTATTTTAAATAAATTTGATAATTAAGCTACAAATGTTCCCCGCACACTTGGATATATTTAAATTGCAGGCTGCTGATCAAATGGAGTAAAATCACAAACATGGACATAATCGATGCTTTTTGTTTGTTCCATGCCTCTCGCAGCACTCAAATGGGTCTGTGAGCTTAATGGCCAATTCCAAGGCTCCCAGGAATGAGAAGGGGGGGGTGGTGAGGGTTGTACTGGCAGTGAAAATACACAAAGTGAAACCCCATGGTGAAAGATTGTGGTTCTTTTCTTTTCATTTCATCTGTGCCTGTAATTCATCTCAACAAGTCAGTGTTGAAAACCCAAACAAGCTAGCAAAGGGGTATTTGTCTCTGCCTGGCTGGCCGCCCTCCCTATTCATTGTTTACTGCCAGAAACCCACTCCTGATCATTGTGGAAGAGAATCTGGGGGCTTAAGGGGCTGACACGCCCACCCACTTTTGCCTCTGCCCATCCACTGTCAAATGAAAAACCACACCAGATTTAGTAAGGGGAGACTAATTTGAAAGAATGATGGCAAGGAGGTGAGGGGACTATTGAAACAGAGAACACAGGTCTGCAAGCATTTTAAGGGTTAGGCAAAAAGAAATTTTCTATTATAGGGAAGAGAAAATAAGGCAACAAAGAACTGAGAAGTGGGATGCAAGGGGGTGTGTGATGGGACAGTCAGTGTTTTACCCTAAGAGCAGCCTGTTTTCAGGTGGGCCTGTCTGCGGGCTCAGGCTGAAAGTAGGCCAAAGTTCAGAGGCCTAGAGAATGGGAAATTTAACCAGTTTGGTTAACAAGCATTTCCACTGTCCCCCTTGCTAGTGAGGACATGCAGTTCAGCTCATCAGTTATGGGGCATAAAATAGGGATTTGGAGACTTATTACATCTGGACTTATTACAGGTAAACAAGAGGGGCATCCATGAGTCTTACCTAAGTCACACGGGGAAGGTGATTCTTTGCTGCAAGCTATCCTTACTAAATTCTTTTACCCATCCAACACCAGAACAAGCCCAGGAACCACACTCAAATCAGGGTTCTAGAAACACAGGATCTTATCCACTGGTCAAGGAATGAAGAAGGGAGATTATGCTCTAAAATCTGTCTTCCCAAGCTCGGGAGAAGCAGGGATCTATGGGGGGGGAGGGGAGGGGGGCACACTGAAGAGGAGAGGCTGAAGGATCATTTGCATCGGCAGGATTTCAGAGAAAGAGGAAGGCATTTTCAGGCAGGATTTCAGAGAAAGAGGAAGGCATTTCCAGCCACTGAATTCACGCTACTTTTTCTTCTGTCAAGTTTGGTTTTGACTGGATCTGTCACCAGGTTGGTGGTGTGCTTTTTTACTATGGTGATGAGGGTGTGGCTTAACCCTTGTCTTACTTCTATCTCCATGTTAGTGTCACCAGGTTTTCTATGGTTTTGTCTGCAGAGATCAGAGATGCAAACAGAGCAGGACTGAAGAATTTCCACAAGAAAAGATAAATGGGAACAGAGGACAGGCCCAGTGACACTGTTTTCCAGAACACAAAGGGTGACTCAGCAGTTTCTCAGGAGCACAGATACAGGTTCAACTCAAACTGTCACCACTCAACTGGTGATGACAATTATGACAACAGTTATCTATGGATTTAATATTTGTAAAGAGCCTTGGAAGTGCTGGGTACAAAGCAAATACTCAAATATCTGTTAATCTCATCTGTGAGATCCTTGAAGGCAGGGTTTGAGTTCATCTCATATGTTTTCATTGGTGCTAGCACAGTACCCAGAATCCAATGACGAGCTTTGACCTTGAGCAAGCCTTGGTCTCCCAATCTGTAAATACACACAATCTCCACCTCACAGAATTGTCAAGAGAATTACACACTGTTGAGATGTCTAAGGGACCCTGACAATGCCCAGCACATCTGTTGACAAAGACTTTCTCCCTGACCTAAATCTGGTCAGGTGCTTCTGAGTCCTTTCTGACTACACATGACCTTGAGGTCTCTCCTTGGCCCATTTAGTTCAGTTTTAGCAACGATCCTGCTGGATGTGTGTAGCAAAAAATCCCCCACCTCTGATACCTGATGGAATTCCTCACTTTCCACTCCTGGAGTCTGACCATCTTGATATTCTATACACTTTACCTTTGATCACCCTGCACGCCTTTAGCAAAAACGTTGTCGAGTGGTCAAGCCAGCATTCCCCTTGCTGTCGATATTCCTTATTTTCCATCCACTGACCCTGCACCTGCTCCTTGACTATAAATCTTCACTTGTCTATGTATTTGAAGTGGAGCCTCATATCTCCCCCCATCACCCGTCCCCACTGCAGTGATCCCCCTGAATAAAATCTGCCTTACCATCTTTAACAAGTATAATGAATAAATGTTAACACTAATAAATAAATTCCCATCCATTTTCTACTCAGACTCCAAACCCACTGTGAGCAGAACATTATATTGCCTCTGTTCAAAGCTTCAAACGGCCTCCAAGTGTTAGGGGGTGGAGAAAATAGGGAAATAAAGTCTTTAATGCATCCAACCCAAACTGCCGACCTGGAAACCCAAAAAGCACTCTCCGAGCTGGCCGGACACTGCGAACTGGCGGAGAGTCAAAATGGGGGACCCCTCCAAAGCCCACGTGTCTGGCTTTATACCAACCTGGCTGCTCAACCCCACCCTCAGGTCCCAGCCACCTTCCCTTTGGTGGTGATGGGATTTGGAGTTCCCAGTGGCTTTGGCCTGGGGTGGGGGTGGAGTCCACAAAGCCTGTATGGAATTAGCTTTAGGACATCCTGTTCCCCCTAACACAAGGAGTGTGTTTGTTAGGAGTTGGCGCCTCAAGTCCGTTCGGGGTTCCCAAAAACTACACGGAGCCAGAGATGCAAAAGCAAAAAGGCTTTATTGCTAGCTTAAGCTAGGGTCCGACTCTGCCTGGTGTACTGACACAGCAGTCTCATCAGGTTGAGAGAAGGACCCCTTTAAGGGTGACAAGCTGTTTTTTATACTCTGTTACAGCAGAAAAAGGGGACCTTTCATATCAGAAAATGGGGACCTTTCACAACGGGGACCAAGTTCGATCTGATTATGTACCTTTCTTTGGCAACCTTTAAGTTTTGTTCATCCTTGCCTTGTGGTTCTTGTGGTTTTACCCTGCAACAGACAGCTGTGCTCTTCAAAACGGTCATTTTCCTTAAAATGGCTGCTGTCTTGCTATGCTTAGTCCTTTAACATCTTACATGTTCAAAACCTAAACTCCCAGCGAGGCCGCCCATTGGGGCACAAGGTAGAGGTGACAGAAATGAGGACTCCGGTCCCTTGCCCACCACTCCACACTGAAACCGAGGCCCTTCTTCCACAGGCTGTTGGTCACTTGGGGGTTCAAATGCAGGATCTGTGACTTTCCAAAAGCACAAAATTTGGAACATTTCATTTGCCCGCATCTCCGTTGACCTCTGTCAAACAGGGAAAACTAAGGATCATAGTTGCAAGGACTAGATAAAATGGTGGAGATGAAGCTGCTTTACACACAAAGTTACCGCGTCAGGGAGCAGCAGCTCACGTGGAAGGAAAACTCGAGGGGCCAGCCCTGGGCCCCGCCCCCGCCCTCCCAGTGCTTGAGCAGGGCGGGGGCATCGATCACTCGGCGCTCCTCTGCGCGCTCAGTCCCGACCAGACGAGTTGAGAGTGATCGATACTCCTCGCTCAAGCCTTACTCGGCGAAGGAACGCGCCGGAGTGTCCCACCCAGAGAACACGTCGTGGCCAGCGCCCGGGCGGCTCGACGCGGCCCCGGCGCGAGAGAGGTTAGACGGGACGGCTGAGCGGGGCGCGCGGCTCCTTCGAGGCGGAGGGGGCCGGGCTGGGAGGGAAGAGCGGCGCCGGCGTCACGTCAAGGGCCGAAGCGGGAATGGACGGCTTCGCGCGTGCGCCTTGGAAAAAGCGGGTGGGTGGCGGAGGGGGAAGAAGACGCGCTTCTGAAAAACGAATCTGAGCGGGGCGGGTGGACGAGGACAGCCGGCGCAAGCGCTCTGAGAACGCAGTTAGGCCGCCTCCAACTCCCGCGCGGCGTGGTTGGGGAAAGGCCCGCGCGTGCGTACGCGGGTAGTTACTGTTGCGCATGCGTACGGGGAGGGTGGGGGGGCGTACCGTTGCGCGTGCGTACGTGGGTAGTTACCGTTGCGCATGCGTGGGGTTGGGGGGGGGCACGGTGGCGCGCCTGCGCAGTTCTTGGTGTCTCGACTCCGGACGCGCGAGTGCGTGTTGGTTTCATCCTGGACACGCTTCGGGTGGGTTCTGTGGCTGTCGCATCCGAACTTCCCGGCCTTTCTCCTCCAGGCGAACTGGACACCCTTGAGCCATCCAGTTCCCAATGGAGGCGCGCGAAGCGAAGCCCATGAGGAGGCGTCTGGGAGGGAAAGCGTGTGAGGCCTGGGGTAGCAGGCGGGGGCGAGGGGCGTTGGAGCCAGCCGGCCTGCGCGCCCGGGGGCCGGGGGTGAGGGGAGCGGAAGGAAAGGCACGTCTAGGCCGGTAGGAGCTCCCTCTGAGCCCGTTTCGCGTTATCTCCCGCAAGATACAGCGAAGGTAACTTCACATGCCCAGCAGGGTTCTGGCGAACCCAAGGCCCGGGGAGGACCCAGCACGACTGCCTGTATGGCCCTTAGAACACCAGCGGTCCCCTCCACCCGGGAAGGAGCTTTCTGGGCAATTTCTAGACCTCTGGACACCCCCACAATGCTCTCCAGAAAGCTCTTGGCTTCTGCATGGTTTCAGTAGAATTCTGCCACAAAGAAATTAAAGAAGTCACAAAATTGAGCGACCTGCTCCCTCAAGCCAGCATGAGGCTGGTAGACCCTGGAAGCCACCTGCCCAGTGCCCCTGTTGCCTCGCACAACTGCCTGCTCAGTGGCTGTTTCTGGAATGACTAGTAAGCTTCCTAGATGGCTTCAATGTTGGGCTGTTTAGTCAAATTAGTTTACATAATGAGCTCTGTCTGGGTGGTAAATAGATGATGTCAGGACCTGAGTCCATTCAAGCTGTTTTGCACAGCTTGCATTTGGCCTCTGTGTTTATTATGACCAACAAGAAGCCTTTTATAAGGCTCACAGTAAGTTGGGTAACAAAGCCAAAAGCCACTCGGGTTTATTCCTACAACCTTTGACTCCCTTTCCAATATTTCATACACCTCATTCCTCTGAGAAAAGCTGTTCATGTCATGGGGCCAATACCTGTGGCTCTGTGGACGATCATTTTACAAAGCCAGTACACAAGACAAGTCAGGCTCTTTCTATTCCTGACATCCCCATTCTTACTCCCTTCAAAGAAAGCTTTTTTGACCAACAGGAGGTGTTTAAAACGAGTTGCTGTCCAGCTCTATGAGACTGATTTAAAGTGAGAATCCAAGACCATTCAGGCTTTTTCATATGGCCTATCATTAGGATGAACAGGTCTGTTTCCTTGGAATCACTCCACTTTATGACTTAATCATACATGCTAAATATTGGGTATGTGTATAGCCCTGAATTAACTTGTGTAAGATGAAATTCCTTCTTGAAGAAATGAAATTCCAGACAATAAAAAGTGTAAACAAGAAAAGTGATAAGGAAGAAAGAAAAATTTTTAAAGTAAATTGATACTTTACTGAGCCAAAAATTTTTCAAGACCTGTATATCGCATCCTGGTTTGGATGATAAATTCTATCATTAACCCACCTATATCTGACCCATTATGCCCTTTTTTGTAGCTCTCTGGGAGGTCAGTTTAAAGAACAATCTACAGTGCCACTCCAAAACACTAATACTTGCCTCCCTCCTCCGGAAGTCTGTATAATACAGCCTTTTCTAAAAAGCAGTGAGAAACTCTGGGAAGCCGATCAATAAAGCCAGTTCATATCCGCTATTAGGCTGATGATGCCTTCCTCTGGAAAACAGCTTGTGCAGTTATCAAGCAATCTTTTATTTAGACCGGTACATGGGGAATGCTGGCAGGCTGACTTTTAAAGCCAAGTCCTGAAGCCGTTCAGAAAGGCAGTTTCATGTAACCAGTTTCATGTAGTGACTTTCACTAGGAAGTCATGTTTGTGTGAAGGCTGCTTTGCATGGCCTACGTGAAGGTAGTTCCTTTGCCACATAGATTCACACAACCACAAGATGTTTCACCCGCCTAGTGAAGGCCATTTCACCTGGCTAAAAGGGGCCAAGGGAGGCTGTTCCTAGGGGGGTTAATTGATGTAACAAGCAGAACATTTTCCTGACCCTATAAAGAAACGACAAAAACAGTTTGTAAAAGTAAGACCAAGTCTTGTTTTCACCTGGCCCCCAGGGGCCCGGTGTGGAAGGAAGCTAAGTTTTTGAAACAAGTCATGAGGTCACTTTGGAAGTAGGGCGTGGCTCCTCCTCCAAAGGCTTTTCATTATGGCTGCTATTTAACAGTCAAAGTCATAAAAAGTTCTGGAAAGCATGTGGAAACTAGACCAGAAGACTACTCAGACAGGTAACAGCCAGCAAGTCACCTCATGAAAGTTGTTTCATGTGGCCACCATAATGCCTCTGGGAAGCTTTAGCGCTGTAAGATCAATCACGAGCCCCTTTGGTTGGCTACATCAAGTGGCTAACACAGGTGATCTGAAAAACCACATTAAAAAATGGAACTTGACTCTTCTGAAGCACCCACCTCTGGAAGACTATCATACAGTTCCAATATAAGTATCTCTGAAGGTCTTTTGAAAAAGCCTAAGAACTCTGGATTAAAAATAAATCACTAAAGTTATTTTCTGGAAGAAGAGATTTGTACAACCCACTTGAAGCCCTCTTTCCCAGAAGACTTTTCACATGACCATCAGCGGGAGGTGCTCACCAAGGCCAACCTGCACAGCAGCTCAGGGGCGCCTTAGGAGGCCACTTTAGGAAGACCATATCCGAGACTGCTTGGAGAACTTGGGTGACAGGCAGCACGTGCAGCTACCTTGGGAACTGGTTTGTAAAGCAGCACATGAGACCTCCTTTGAAGCCCAGCTTTTAAGACTGGTGCGCTCTACAAGGGGCTATTTTATAAGGTCACCCTGGGAGGCCAGTTTACAAAGTCCATAATCTGCATCACAGGGAGCTGGTTTATAGCCCGTTTAAAACCCTCTGGGAAGCCATTTTATAACGCCACTAAGAAACCAATTAACAAAGCTGGTACATAAGGCCCCAGTGCAAGCCACTTTATAGTAAGGCAAGTAAATAGTCTTCTGGGAGGCCTTTTTATTATAGGCCTTTGTGAGAAGCCAGGCTGTGAGGCCTCTGAAGTCTTTTCAGATGCTCAAGATGAGACATCTTGTGGTTGCTTTTTAAGACCGGTGAGACACTGAGGATGAACCCTGCAGCCTCCAGGGGAAGCTGACTGGTGGATGCACATGCTATTTTGTGTATAGCTAAGCGAGTAAGTCCACACTGGAAGGGTGAACTGTGAGCCTCGCCAAATGACTGTTAATGAGGCCAACAGGACATTTATAAATCTAGGAGACTAGAGAGAAATCCTTACGGCAGGTTGGAACAAGCGAAATCAGGTTCTCTTAGTCCCATTATTGACTAAACAAACTGGGAAGATCACAGTATCCAGTGTGAGCCAAGGTCTGAGCTAGGGTACAAGGTCCAAAAGCCTGTGTGATCCTCACCCCTGAGGCCAAAAAGTGCTCTGGGTAGACACTGCCATGTACTGTGTAATAATGAGCAAATTACTTAAACACCCAACTCTCACCAGATTCCTGTATATACATCTCACATCACAGGGTTGTGAGGGATATGTCTAATAATGTACGTTAAGCAGGGAGCATGGAGTGGCCCACTGGAAAGGACAATGTTGGCTGGAATTTAAGCTGTTTCTGCACAAATGTCCACGGACTTTGGGCAAGTCACTCCATCTTTCTCTGAGCTTTAGTTTCCTCATCCACAAAGTATGAAGGTAGGATCGGAAAAATGGTCACATTCCTATTTACAGGATTGTGGAGAACAAATAAAAAGAGAGAAAGGAATAGTTGGGCAAGTAGGATGAGAATTGAGCCCTGACTGGCGCCATGATGGGAGAGTGTGCCCTCAGCTCGAAGGCTGCCCAGCCCTCAGATCTCTGCTCCACCTCCTAATAGCAGAACTGCTTTGGGCAAGGCCTCTGCTTTAGCCTCCTCACCTGTAAAGTGAGAATGAGAATATGTTCTTGGGGTTTCTCTAAGGAACGAGAGTGATAAAAGAAATGAGAGTGATAAAGTGCGTAGAGCTTTCCTGGCTTAGCAGCAAACATTTCATAAGTATGTTGTCAGCTTTATTTGTTCTGTGGAGCCCTTGTGAGGGTTCAGTGACTGTCAGTGTTCTGCTGCTGGTGGGGGTCGGAGAGGAGGTGAGCTAAAAAGAACCCAGGGATTGGATGAGGTTCTCCAGCTGCCTCCAGGGACCATAGCTAGTGTCCTGGGCATGTCTTCACTTCCCTATTTCCTGCTGGCTTCATGCACCCTAGGGCTGAGGGAAGCTACGCTTTCTCCTCTTTTGTGTGAGTTATAGATCGAATCCCAGGATATCCAGGAAATGTGAGCCGTTTGTTATCAGGTTTTGCATAACAGAGCACCATAAACCTTAATGACTTAAAAGAATACACACCTGTGATCTCCATTTCCATGGTGGGTCCAAGTCTGAGTGTGGTTTAGCAGGTCCTGCCCATGCTCAAGAGGAGGGGATTAGGTAAGGGCTGAATAACAAGAAGTAGCGATCGCCGGGCAACCTTCTAGTCTGCCGCTGCAGGAGGACCGTGGCTTTCTTTTCACAGGAGGCGAGGCATCTGAGGAGGCTTTGTCATGGGCACGTCTTCACGCTTGCCTTATGCCATCCATCATGGATCTTAATTGACAGTTACTTTCATGGGGCAAATAGGACTCTTTGTTTTTTGTTTTTTGTGGGACCCTCGCCGGCGGCTGGGGAACGAACCGGCGCTGCAGAGGCTGCAGGCAGCCTCGCAGCCCAGCGCTCAACCACTGCGCCACCAGGGGAGACCCCAAGTAGGATCATCAACCACGGAAATCATCCGTGGCTGACATACACAAGAAGGAATTCCTAAGGAGTCCCTTGGGGCACACGGAATCCATGGAAAGCTAGAGAACTAGATTTGGAAAAGAATAAGAACGTGCTTCTGTCACCTAGGAACTAGGAACAATAATTGTTAGAACCTAGCACAGAACAGCTGACGCAGAAACTGCCACTAGGATAGAAATGTCACTTATGTCCAGTCTGGTTGATCTGCCTGAAGTTCAAATTTGAGGGGGGCACCTTCTGACTGCCTTGCTTGGATCACATCCCAGCCCCTCGGCAACATCCCACCAGCCTGACCTCAGCAGGGAAAAATAGAATTCCTCAAAAGGAAATTGAAGTGTATTGTTAAGAAAGAAAAGGATTCTGAGCCACCAGGACTCAACAAATGCCCTCTACATTCTCTGCATCTGTTTCCCCAACAATAGGAAGAAGTCACGGTGTCAGGACAGCCTAATTTGTAGCACGCATCAGCAACACTTTATAGTGACTAAGCACAATACACGTTTGCTTTTTTGCTCTTGCTCTGTAGTCCAGCGTGGACACTCCTAGTGAGGTGGCTGTCTCGTAGCTCTATCATTTCCAAGGGCCTCGGGGTCATTCCCTTCCCGCCAGTGGGTAGGAAAAGTTGGGCATGGTGAAGCATGTATGAGTGGGAGTTTATGCCCAGCAGAGAAGACCATGTTGAAGAATCACCAGAGAGGGAGGTGTGTTCCAAAGGAAAGCACAGGAAGTGGTGGGGATCTAAGGGCACCAACTCTTTGTGGTCTATTTTTTGGGGGAAGATATATATTTTAAAAATTTTAGTAGTTGACAACATCATAGATGTAGGTTTCCCCTCCCCAGATTTATTTTATAAAAATACACATTCGAGGGCCTCCCTGGAGGTGCAGGGGATTGAGCACAGTGCTGTGAAGGTGTCTGCAGCCTCTGCAGCACTGGTTCGATTCCCCATGGCCAGGGAGCTACCCACATGCTGCGGCAGAGCCCTCCTGTCTCTCCCACAGCTCCCCTCAGCAGTGTTTTCAGTCCATCTGCCTGTTCTGCTCCCTACTCTGTCTCTGGTGAATCCTCTCACCCTCCCACGCCTCTGGCCTGTACCCCGGCTCTTGTATAAATAAATTTTTAAAAAAATGTTTAAAAAAATACACATTTGTCTATATTGAAACAGGCAGTGTGATAATTTGCTCTTTTACTTCTTTCCAGGCCAGCGTTCACCAAGCCGTGCTGGCAGAGCGATGGCAGAGGACAGCACCCCGGCTGCCCCGGAGGGCACGGGAGGGCTCTGGGAGGCCCTGAGGGCGCTGCTGCCCCGCACGCAGGAAGAGCTGAAGCTGGACCTCGGTGAGCACGTGGAGGCCGGGGTGGTGCTGCTGCTGCAGCGGGCCACGCAGCTGTTCTATGCAGGCCAGAGGCATGAGTGTCTGGAGACCAGCGAGGTGCTCCTCGACTACACCTGGGAGAGGCTCAACACCGGGCCATGGAAGGACGTTCACAAAGACTGGAGGCGGGTCTACGCATTCAGCTGCCTCCTGAAAGCTGTGTGTCTGTGCCAGGCACCTGCCGACGCCGCCAGCGTGGACGCCGCCAGCGTGGACGCCGCCCTGAAGGTCTGCGACATGGGCCTTCTGATGGGGGCGGCCATCCTGGGGGACATCCTCATTAAGGTCGCCGCCATCCTCCAGACACACCTGCTCTCTAGAAAAAGAGCTGTGCCAGGCCCTGCCCTGGAGCAGCCCAGCCGGAAGGTAAGGGGTGAGGTGGTCAGTGGCCACACCTGTTTTTCTAGGCGTAACAACACCTGGGGCGCAGCCTCATGGCAGGGCCTGCCTCTGGCTGAAAAGAGAAGCTCCATTGAGAAGGAGAGAAAGTCTGTTTTCTCAGTCATTTTTCCAGTTTCTACAAAAGCAGCGCCTTTTCAGGAGAGGGGCGGGAGGAAGCTTCATGGTTCTTGAGCACGCCATGGCAGTGGTGTAGACGTGGCTTCGAAGGCGAGAGCTGTGCTGTCTCTTAACTTTTCCTCGGCCGGCTGGTTGAAGTCTCACTCACTCGTCTGGCTGCTCTGGCTGCTGCCAAGTTGGGAAGCGACAGGACAGCGAGCTGGCTTCCGCTCTGCCTGCCGTTAGATCCTGCCTGTGTCGTTGCTGGTACTCAACTGCCAGAGAATACCCTGCAGAGGCCGAGGGTGGTTCGCTCCACAGGCTGCCACTTACTGTGCCTCTGGGCAGGCAGTGACCTCTCCTGAGCCTCAGTTTCTTCATCCCTAAAGTGGCTGTTGAAGCACCGATCCCAGAATGAAAGGCTAAGCTGGACTGAACACAGGAGGGCAGTTCGGAGAAGTTTCTTAATGGCTTGCTGTGTTTTCCGAATTCACTGTGGTGTTATTTTTATGTAAGAATTGCAAGTGGATGTCATCAATTCCACATGCATGGAAACGTCATAAAAGGGAATCCTACGAACAGGGAAGAGAAATTTGCAGCAAATCTGTCAGAATAAATATCTTTATTATAGAAGGAATTATACGAATCAGTGGGGAGGAACGCTTGGACTCCAGGAGGTAGAGAGACTGGGAACACGGACAGACTGTTCTCCAGGAGGAAATAGAGCTACTGAGCAAACCTCACCTATGGTTAAAAAAAATGCAAAACCTGTGAGGCGCCATTTTGGGTTGTGAAATGATGGAGCAAGCCTTGGCATTTGCCCAGTGCTGCTGAGACGCCACGGGCACAAGGCCTGGTATGTGAGACCTTCTAGAGGGCAGAGCAGACCAAGGCTCCAGGACCTGTCCCCCTGACCGAGAGGATGCACCTGCCCCTCCCCAGGGAGCTATGGAAATGGACTGTTCCAAGGAGCTATGGAAAGAGCTTCATGGCCAGGGGGTCCCTGGTAGTGCCACAGAGGAGGCAGCGTGTGTAGAGCAGGCTCCGGACTCCACTTAACAGCATGCAAATTCCCCAATTGGGTGCTGTAAGGGCAGGAATGGGCACAGTGCAGGTTTTCTATGCTTCTATGCAGACAGGGTAAAGGAGGAGAGGAGTCTTGGAGCCCTCAGCGGGTTTGCAGGCTTTTATAGGGATTTACCAGGTACACAACAGGCTGGCAGGTCTCCCAGCCCCCAGCAAGTCTTCACCCTGTCTGGGTTCTCCAGCCTTTTCTCACGTTCTCTCTCTTCTCTGCTTCAGCTTCTCTGCTTCTCCCCTCGGCTTCTGCTTCTGCTGGCGTCCCTGTGACGCCGCCCTTAAAAGCCCAGTCTTAGCCCAGGTGGATCCGATCTACATATGCCCACACCCTACTCCAGGTGCCCGCCATCAGGCCTGCATTCAGGACCACAGGGTTCCGTCATCTATCCCAATGGCAGGAGGGCAGAAAAGCCTGATACTTTTTACCTTACCCTACAGGTGCAAATTCACACTCATTGCCTGTGAGTCTGGCAGGTGTCTGGGTCTCTCCACATCCCCCCATGCCCCCTCTGTGCCCTTGCCTAGAAGGGAGGTTTGCTCAGCTGCTTTATCACGCACCAGGGGTCACTCAGATGGACTAGGCCCCGAGGACCTGTCCTGCCAGAGCTTACCTTCCAGACAACTGTAATGGGGTTTCTCTCTCGTGGTGGGGTGGTGGGGAGGCAGCTTCACGTAGGTGGACAGGGAAGGCCTCTCCCACGAGGGAATGTGTGAAGAGCAAAGCCTGCTGAGAGCGTCCTGACAATGCAAAGAAAGGGCGAGGCCAAGGCCTCACACATGGCCTGCAGGTGGGAGTGTTTGCTGCCGCTGCTCCCTCCACTACAAACTTTAAGAATTGATTTGAGGGTCCAGCCATGGGGAGCCGGGGAACTGACAGTGGTCAGTACTTCCCATATGAGCATTTTCTCCCAGTAGTTTAGCAGTTGAGGAAACTGAGGCTCAGGTCGCCCAGCAGGGAGCATGCACTCATAAGGCACGCGAGCACCAGGTGGTGGCAGGGAATGAGCTCTGGAGAAATCCCCGGCTGCAAGGGGCAGAGTTGCTTCTTCACAATGAACTCTACTGCTCGTGGGCTGGACACACGTACGTGTGAAAATGGGGACGGGACATACGGCAATGAGAGAGAATACTTTCCCTGGCTGGCAGTGTGGAGTCCCTGCCCTCTACTGCAGAGGTTCTGTGAAAGCCATACGTTACTTTTTATAATGAAGCAGACATTTTAAAGGAACTGGCAAAGGGAAAATCCAGGTTTCATGAGGAATACAGTAGCGGTGGCTGCAGTAACAATGCTCATAAAAGCCATCGCCTATTATTGTTACCGTCGACCCCTCACATCCTGTCAGTTCCACATCCTGTCAGTTCCCCTCACATCCTGTCATTCCTAGATAAAGGACTCGATTTTGACTTCTGGTGGCTGATGCTGTTTTCCTTTGTTTTGATTTTAAACAGAAAGCAAGGAATGACGACGTTTCGATTCCAGATACGGAGTCAGAAAAAGCGGTCCCTCGGCTGCGCTGCCCATCCCTCCAGTATTTCAGGGAGCATTTCCTGGTTCCCGGGAGGCCTGTGATCTTGGAAGGCGTGGCGGACCACTGGCCCTGCATGAGGAAGTGGAGGTGGGTGGCTGCTGCAGCGGCGCGGCTCCCCTTCCCACTTTCACTTCCCCAGAGACTCCCAGAATTCCTCCTCCTGTCACCCCCAAGTAAATGGGGCCTCACAGACCCTTCACCTGCAGCCCCTGGGGCGGATTGCCCAAGCTGGCAAAGGAGAATTGAAAGCACAGTGCAGTGATTCTGTGCCAGCGCGGGTAAGGCCTTTATCTCCTACGTTGTGCTTGCCCAGAGCAGCTTTTAACGAGGGCTTTGGTGCTGGTCAAGTGTTAAGTCTCCTGCAGTTTTGCAGGATCTGAGAAACAAGAACCCGAGAGACAGTCACCTCCCTGCTGTGGGGCTCCCTGGGCTCTTGCCTTTGCTCCTCCCTCACATCAGCTCCTGTCCCTCCTCAGATGCATGGTTGGGGGAGCAGAGGGGCACCTGGAGAGGGTAAACGGGAACGGGAAGGTGTGCTTAGGAACGTGCATGCGTCAGCCTGTGGCTCCCTCTGAGACCTGCGTGGGGAGGAATTGTGACAAGCATCGTCCCAACACGCCTTCATTCTTCGTCTCACCGCGCACCCGGCACGTCACGGGGCTGACTGCTCACCCGGTGCCAGGACAGGCACTTGCCAGCTGACCTCATTTTACCTGCCCTGAGCCCATGGGCTGGACACTGTCATCACTCTCTTTTACAAATGGGGCACCAGGGCTCAGAGAGGTGAAGTGACTGTTGAGGGCCCACTGGTCAGTAACCAGCAGGGCCTGCTGTGTGCCAGGCCCCCAGAGTCCATTGCTTGGGCATAGCACCACCCCCCGTGCTGCCCACCATTTCTCAAAGGTGGTTTCTCAGCTGAGTGACCAGGTGAGAGAGAAGTCAGAAAGCTCTTAGCAAGCCAAGGAGCAGAGCAGCTGGCAGGACCTTGACAAGTCAGGCTAACTGGGTCTATCCGCACAGCCACCGGTGCCAGCTGGGCAGGCGACCTCACCTCTGTGTCCATGTCCTCGTCAATTAGATGGGGTCACAGTGGTCACTACCTTGAAAGGTTCTGTGAAGATTAAAGGAGACCAGTGTGAGGCACTCTGTTCCCAGCAGAGGTCAGCAGCTGTGGTGTTTTTCTAATAGCCTGGAGTACATCCAAGAGGTCGCCGGCTGCCGCACCGTCCCAGTGGAAGTCGGGTCAAGGTACACAGACGAGGAATGGTCCCAGAGGCTCATGACGGTCAGCGAGTTCATCAGCACATACATCACCAGCGAGGTATGTCATCCGACTCCTTTCCTTACCAGGAGAGGACACGCTACATGTGGGGCAGCCTCCGGGCATCAGTGGGTCGTTTCACTCTGCGGTCAGCAGGCTGCTGGGCAGGCAGGACCTTCCAGACCCTTTCTTTGTGCAGTTGAGTGGTTTTCAGTGTATTCGTAGATTGCGCAGCCCTCGCCACTGATTCCAGAACTTTTTCTCATTACCCTTAGAGAAACCTCACACTCATTAGTGGTCACCCCATACCCCCTCCCTCCAGCCCCAAGCAACCATTAATTTGTTTCTATGAATTTGCCAGTTTTGGACGTTCAGGAAAACAGAATCGTAAACCATGTGACTTTCTGCGTCCGGCTTACTTCCTCTCCTTACTCTACCTCACCCTCGATGCCTTGACTTTGTTGAGTTGGGGTTACTCGATGGAGCATAAAACACGGAAAGCTCTCAGCCCGGTGTGGTCAGCAGTTAGTGTCCTCCAGGCCAGCATATCCTGAGGGCACAGATCACATGAGTCAACCAGGCCCAGCATGGGGTCTGGCATTTCATAAACTCGCAACGTTTACTTGCCGGGAATGAGGGGGAGGGATGGAAAGACAGTGGTTCTTAGGAATCCTGGCCAGGAACCTTCATCCACTTGGTTGGTGTTCGCCTCAGATCCCTGAGGCCATAGCCCTCTCCACCCCAGCGGATTTGGCGCCCCCTTACCTCACAGGCCTCAGGTACCATCACTGGACCCCACCAGCAGGAGAGCCTGCTTTGTAACGAACTTACCTTTTCACCCATCTGATTGGCAAAAATGATCCTCTCCAGCGCGGGCAGAGGCCAGGAAGGTGGGCAGTCACGGTAACTACAAGTGACTGCCGACAGCTGAGAGTATGCATGATTTACCTTTTAGGAACACGGCTGGCAGAAGCTCTTAAAATTTTAAGTGCACTTACTCCTTAACTCATGTTTTATTTTTGCACATAAAGAGAAGAACCAGAATACTAGGCCATATATTAGAATTCTGTAGCAAAATAACCTGAATACCTGTATAGTAATATTAATAATGAACCGTTGCATTAAGTCTGTATTCACTAAAAGAGTGTCCGCTATATGCGTATCGACCTGAAGATACTCAAGATGATTAAATGAAAAAAAGCAAATTTCCGAGTAACAGAGTCTGACTCCATCTTTATTTTTAAAAAGGTGTGCTTGTGTGCAGCCCCGTCATTTTTCATTTGAGGAAACAGAGCTGGGGCAGGGGTGACCGACGGGGAACCACCTAGTGGCAGTGGCAGCACCAGGCCCTGAGTCTCCCCGCTTCAGCCCAGTCCGCTAGGCTGGTGAGGGAGCTGCTGGGAGGGAGGACAGGGGACTAAGCAGGGCGGGGAGGATCCGCACGATGGGGCAGTAGCGGTGGGGGTGTACAAAAAGCCTGCCAGACAGCGCCAGCACCTCCATCATGACTCACTGGGCTCTCTGTGTCGCCTCCGCCGCGGTCTCCGCCTGTGCATAAGCCCAAGGACGTCGGGTACCTTGCTCAGCACCAGCTCTTTGATCAGGTAAGTCTGCGCTCGGCTGTCTTCACCTTCTCACCTCAGCTCCTCCCCTCCTGGCTCTGACACCAGAAGGCAGGAAAGGGTGTAGCAGCCTCCTCACCACCCACCAGCACCACCAGCCTAGTCTCCTGTCACCCAGAGCCAGGTGACTGGGCACAGACGGGGTCAGGGAGCACGACCATCTGGCTGTGGGATGTGAGAAAATCAGGCTGCGCACTGCACAGAATGATCTGACCTGTGTTAAAAAAGAACAGGAAAAATACCGCAAAAGATTGACATGACTGTGAGTGGGAGATGGCGAGTGGTTTTTCCCTTTTCTATCGTTTCCAAGTCAGCTACAATAAATGTGTGTAAGCATCGTAAGAGTAAACAGACGGTTATGAAATGCAAACAGAACGAGAGCACAGGGGAGTCAGACTGCATTTCCAAGCCAGCAGGTTCATCCTGAGGAAGTGGTGGGAGCTGTGCTTGGTGGGAGGCGCCGTATCTACACAGGGAAACCTAGAGCTAGTCATGCCATGGCATATTGGGCCCTAAAGAGAGAACACTACTTGGGGGCTAGTGTGTCCCACAGGGCTGTTCTCACCCTCCCTGCTCTGACACCCAGATCCCGGAGCTGAAGCAGGACATCAGCATCCCGGATTACTGCTGCCTGGGCAGTGGGGAGGAAGAGGAGATCACCATTAACGCCTGGTTTGGCCCCAGAGGAACTGTCTCCCCGCTCCATCAGGATCCCCAGCAAAATTTCCTTGCCCAGGTGGGATAACCCTCGCCTTCTTCGCCTTCCCCACCCTCCAAGGCCTGGCCACGCCTTCCACCTCAAAATACCAGGCATGCCAACTCCTATCAAACATGAACAAGTGAAAAATGATTAATGGTGCCAGGCCTCGGGGTGCAGCACCGTCCAGTCAGTCGTACTGTTTCCAGATGTGGTGTCTGCTGGGTGCATGCTCTATGACCCTGAAGGCAGCAGCCTTCAGGGTCAAGTTGAGCAGGAAATGGGGTGAGGGGCCTGTTTCAGGGGAGTCATTCTGCCCTCTCCTGCCTGCCTCCATCAGATCAGAACCAGGCAGCTCCTCCCAGCCAGAACCTTCCCTCCAAATGAGTCTTCTCAGCCACTGCAGAACGTCCCGAGACCCAGAGGAGCAGGTGTTTGCTGTGAGCAGGGGGCATCTGCTGTAGAACCAGCTATTTTCATGGGCAGAGAGGTCTCACCAGTGATAACCGCTTCCAGCACAGTGAACTGAAGGGCGGCCTCACAGGAGAGGCTGCGGGCTGGATCGGGAGTCAGGCTACCTGGCGTGAACACCGGCCCTATCCCTACCAGCTTCGTGAACACCTAACCCCTCTGTGCCTTGGTTTCCCCATCGGTGAATGGGGGTGATGATGAAACATCCAGAGGGGTGAGGACTGCAGGTGTTAATACGTAGAGGGCATGCCATAGTCAAGTGCTTAATTAGTGTGAGTTAACGTATGAAGTCATCAATTCAGAATATACTTGGAGGAACTTTCAGCCTGGGTAGAGGGGTGGGGCATTTGAACCCAGGGAGAAGCATGTGGAAAAGCACAGGAAGGTGAAGGACAGAGATGAAGCTACCTGCTGACTGACCACTGATGGGGTCACTCTCTTCCCAGGTGATGGGGAGGAAGTACATCCGGCTGTATGCCCCGCAGGAGTCAGAGGCTTTATACCCTCACGACACACACCTTCTTCATAACACCAGCCAGGTGGGCACACTGGATCTAGGGTGACACAGCAAGTTCTCCCCTACTCCACCCGGCTCTGGAGACCAGGCAAGTGACTTTGGCTTTTTTCAGGTTGACGTGGAGAAGCCTGACCTGGAAAAGTTCCCCAAGTTTGCAGAGGCCCCCTTCCAGTCCTGCATCCTGTCTCCCGGGGATATCCTGTTTATCCCAGTCAAATACTGGCATTATGTGCGAGCCCTGGATCTCAGCTTTTCGGTCAGCTTCTGGTGGTCATAGCCAGGATGAGAGCGCGCGCTCAGTGCAGACGGTGCTGCGGGCTCTCTCCTGCTCCTTGGCCCGCCTGGCGCCGGGATTAGGCAAGCCAGGTGGAGCCCGTGCCCTGAAGAGCCTTGGCTGGTGCTGAGCTCAGGCACCAGGCCGAGGGCGGCCCAGGCAGTGGCGGTCTCCTGACAGGCATACACAGCAGAGGAAGACGGGTGAGACCCCAGGACATTGCAGGTAACAAGGCCCAGGGGCATTGTCTGGGCTCTAAAATTAGCTGCCTGGACTCAGACCCAGCCATGTAAGTGAACTGTTATGTGACCTGGGAAAAGATATTTCTCTGTGCTGGGGAAGAGGGCAGCACTGGTCCCCACCACAGAGGGTTCCAGAGGGAATGCATGCAGGGCCGCTGCTGCACTGCCAATGTTCACTGCTGTCTGCAAGCTTAAGTATGTTACTATTTGCCATGACTGGGCCTGTGAGGAGCCCCCTTGACTGGAAATAGTGGCCCTGGTCACTGCTGAGGGTTTCCCTGACTTACCCATCTCCTGTTGGACAAGGGGAAGTCCGGGAGCCTTGTTGCTGTCATTGCGGAGTACCCTGCCTCCCGAGATTGGCACAACCGTCCAGCTTGATGAACTGTCAGCCATGCACCCTCCCTATAACTGGTTTCTGAATTGAGAAACCACCACTCCTGGCACCCCGAAGCCCTCCGCCTTCCCCTTGCAAGCTCCATCCCTCCAGGGGTTGCTGCCATCTAGGTCTGGACTTGGATGACATTCACCACATGCTGCAAGGTGAAGAGTGAAGTACTGCAAGCCACCATAACAGATCTTAAAAGCTAATAAATCTAAAATGAAGAACAGCTATCTTTATTAGATCCAAAAATAGGCAGGTTAAACCCAATACCAACAAAACTAGCAGGTTTCAGCCTCATACACTTGGTGTGGAAGAGGGTAGCATGTCCTGCTAGCTGGACTCCAAATGACAGAACTATAGCAGAAACACTGTACAGCTTTGGGTCTTGTGACCCCACTTTTAGAAGAATTTGAAGGAGACATCAGTAAGATGTAAGAAAAACACTGCTGGTCTCCTTTACCTGCACTTGATACTGTGAAACTGCTGTGTATGTGTTTGGGGGGGGGGCTTGCAAGGGGTCCCACACTTAAGTGATTCTGCAGTGCCAGCCAGGTGTCCTGCAACTGACATTTGTAACCACACTCTGAGGGGAGAACAGCCTGCTTTCCCCAGTTCCTCACAGAGAAGCTGATCTCAGAAGGGAGAACTGCGTGTTGGCAGCAATCAGCGTGGCATGTGGAAACCATGTATGCTGGCCACATGGAGGAGGTGTGGATGGGACTGGGAAGTAGAGGCCTCTGCTAGATCTGGAAGGATGCCAAGGAGACGGAGGGAGGGTGGGCAGGCCTTAGGGTACATAGTTGCGTGAGTTTGGGACAACAGGCAGCAGGGTGGGATGGGAAAGTGAAACGGGGTGAAATGGAAGGTATAACAGGTCTAAAGGATGCAGGCCCTGACTGCCACATGGGATGAGACTCGCATTACAGTGGCCACATGAAGCAACTTTCCATGGTGAGGTGACATGCTGGCCATTAGCTGTCTGAGGAGTAGTCTTCTGGTCTGGTTCCATATGCTTTCCAGAACTGTTTTTGTGATTTGGACTTTTAAATTGCTGCCATAACAATAGGCCTTTGGGGGAGGAGCCACACCTTACTATATGAGGCAGCCTTCCAAAGTGACCCCATGACTTGTTTCAGACACCAGCTCCTCAGATACTGGGTCCTTGTCCCACCCCACCTGCCATCCCCAGGCCCATGCAGACCAGTTGCCAGGAGGGTCTAGATTGTGGGGAGTTCAGATCAGGGCTCCCAGAAGTCCAGGATGGGCTGGCCAGTGTTGGTGGGACAAGTGGCTGAAGGCAAGCCGCCCTGGACCAGTGCTGTACAGGAGCTCTGCCAGCTTCACCTATGGGGCCCAACCGGGCTGGTACCAAGATAGCAACAGGAGACAAGCCTCCTGCAGAGGGGCAGGACTACTGACTAAGGCTGCAGCAGCAACTTAATAAGTTTTATTCCAAACCTGTTAGTGAACACAAAGCATAAAGGTGTGAACGGTGAGACTGCAGTCTCTTCCAAACAGGGCCCCACGGACTGCTTCCCTGAAGGCAACGAGCCCCTGCTCCAATTAGTGCTGCCTGGATCGCAAGGACTTCTTGTTCGGCCTGGAGACACCAGCCTCCCTCTCCTTCTCAGGGTCGAAGACCTCTGTACACAGAAAAGGCCAGGAATACTGTGAGTGGTGGGCTACTACACACAAAACAGCAGTCCAGGTCCACAGCTACAATTTGTGTGCCTTAGCCTAGGTCTGTAATGGTCTTCACTGCTGGCCCTTCCTGCACACCGTGCGAGGAAGGCCGTCAGCCCAGTTCACACAGAGCAGTGGCTGCTGCTTTCACACCCCCACCAGGCTTATTTAGCCAGACTCTTGTGGGTCCTGGAATTTCTATCGGGTTCTGGAGAGAGCCCTCTAGAACTGGGCAAGCAAGCCAGCATGCAATTACTGCAGAAGCCACAGCAGCTGTGGGTTTCGGGCCCAGGCAACCATGCCTACACATTTGGAACCCTGGTCTCAGCACTCCCTGAGTGCCACAGAAGGTCAGGGCCCAGGCTTATCCTGCCCACCCAGCCCCTTCTGGTATCCTGCACCTGAAGGACACAAACCTGGTATCTCGTGGGGCCAATAATCATTACAGTGGGGGCAGCGGGGCTCAGAATTCGACTGGAAATACTTAGCCACACAAGGTAAGTGCATGCGGATGCCACAGGTCTCGCAGCTTTGACCCTGAAACAAGAACGGCTGATAGCCATGGAGCCTTATACACATCAGTGTTCACAACCCTTCAGGAAATAGAAGAAAATGTACAGCAGGCTGTTTTTGCCTTCTAGGCCCCAGATTAACGCTGATGATAACCGAAAGTCCTCAGTGCTATGGGTTTTATTAAAGAATCCTGAACGAATAAATGCAGGTAGAAGGACGACAAGACTGTAAAGGCTAGGCTCAGAGAGCAGCAGGGCCACTACTGGCTAAAAGACTTTGGGGGAGCCTTTCAAGAGTAAAATAAAATTCAAAGAGCCTTGGACTAGAATAGAGGGGCCATAGTCATCCTTGAACAGCAGCAACATGCCCTACATTTTGCTCAGGTCAGAGTTGGTAAGAGCAATGGTGATGCCTGTGCCCTTGAGAGAATTCCAGAAAGAACCCATGCAAAGACGGGAGCCCCTCACAGTACCTGGATGAGGAGGCCATGGCAGATGTTGCAGGTCTTGGCAGCGTCGGGACGCGTCTCCCGGATGTACTGCTCCATCTCCAAGATGGCCCGGCCATGTAGCGTGAACTCCCCTTCCTTCTGCAGGATGGAAAATAGGTGGCCACCGCTTAAGCCATGGGCATGTGAGGCCCAGTCCCACCATCCCTCTGTCCCCCCGAGTCCCACAGCCCAAGGTCCAGACACAAGGTCTGGGTGCCCCTCGCTCTGCAGATTTTCATCAGCCCTACTTATTAGCAGGCACCCAGACTGGCCCCCTGAGTGTCTCAAGTGGGAAAATTTAGGCAAAGACACAAAGAGGAAATCGAGACACTCCTCCACAACCCCACTCCCTCATTTCTCAGCACCTTTTGCCTTCACAAACATGAATCATGAATCTGCATAGCTGTCACATGTGGAAGCCACTGTCACAGATGAGGGCACAAAGGCCAAGAAAGGGAGACGGGCAGTGTCCTCAAGGGGTGAGCCCAAGGCAACCTCCACACCCCTCCCTCCCACTCCCAGAGAGCAGAAAATCAGGTGCCTCCCAGCATCTGCCTGGAGCCTTAGTGGATATTACTTCTGGCCACTTCACTTGACAAAGTGGGAAACAGTACAGATAGGTAGGGACAACTCTCAAATCACACCAAGGAGGTCAAAGATGGTGGGGCCTCCCGGTTCCCACATCCCCGCCCAGCTCACACACCATGTGAACGAAAGCTCTGGGAAAACCAGAAAGTGGGTAAATAGCTGGGCTGTGGGCTGACCCTTATGGCCCTATGGCCAAGTCACAGGCAGGGGGGCAGGGCACCAAGGAAAGCTAGATGGAGTCAAATTTCACAGAAGCCCCTTCAAAGTTTATTTCATTTCATCAAAGTACTCACAAACTGGACATGAACCTGTAAAGAGCTTTTTCAGAGCTGGCTGATCAACTTCCCTGATGGGAAGGACAGAGCAATTTTGTCAGGGGTGGGAGCCACTGAAGATGGAGGCACCCAAGTGTCCCTGCACTTACCCGTTAGTTTCAAATTTTTACAAGCAAGACTGTTTCTCCCATTTCTGAGCGCACCCCACCCTCCTGTTCCTACCTCCACCAGCATATGGAGTGCTGAATATAACCAAGCCAGGGAGGCTCATTCACTCAGGCCACCAATGGTGGGGTCAGGTGACCACACAGAGGGGGAGAAGGTACAAATAGGTACTGAGAATCCAAGCCACAAGCAGATTGCAGGGAGCAGGAGAGGGCAGGTGGGAAGCAGCCCAGTGCATAAGGTACTGGTGTCCTGTACCTTGGGCTGATGAACCAGGCAGGAAGTGGACGACAGAGGTTTTGGGCCCCTCAGGTGCTGTGTGCATGGGAGGATGTAGCTAACTGGGTCCAGTGATTACTACCTTCTCCAGAGCTCCCAAATCCGTAACAGCACTGCATCCCCAGGACCGCCACTCTAATCCACCTTCCCCTCCTAACTGCACTGAGCCCACATGTGGCCCACTATAGCATCCTGGTCTCTGAGAGACCCTATGCCTCTCTGCCTCAACCCTGCTCACCATTCTTAGGATGAGCATCCCTTGGTGGGACCCATCTCCCAGGCTCACCTGCCCCACTTGCCCCTGCAACCCTGGTGCACAAAGCTTCCTGGTCCGAGTCCCCTGAGCATACTGTACCCCTCAGGCACAGGACCTTTGTTTGCACAGGCTGCTTCATCTACTGGGATAATCTTCCCTACCCCCAATTCCAGCTGCCTCCTACACAGCCTTCAGCTTGAGGTCACTTCCTCAGTTGAGGATTACTTTCATTGTTAAAGCTGTCATAAAATTATTTCCTTCCTTACTGTAACTCCACTCACTAGATGTCTGACTCATCTCTGTCTCCCCAGGAGACTGTAAGCCCCAGGCCTGGTTTTGCTCAGTCTTGTGTCCCCAGCCTTTGGTGTACCAGCACTTGACATTCCCATGATCAACTTCTAAGAGAAGATTAAGTAGATCTTGCAGTGAATTCCAAGGAGGAATTCCCAGCGCCCTACTGAAAAAGTTCAAATTCAGTGTCAGGCATAAGCTGCATTTACTCAACACTTACTATGTGCCGAAACTATGCCCAGAGGTTGTCATTCATGACCCCATTAAGTTATCACAGGGAAGGGAAGAGAGGTACCCTGGTCTCCCAGGAAGACCCAGGCCACTTGCCAAAGTTAGTAGCAGAATAGTCAGAGGAGGAACTGGAGGTGTGTCTCACCACCCTGCTCCCCATCTCCACTGGTTTGTCCCTTCTTCCATGGGAAGCCTGAGCGGGTCAGTCAACAAGAAGACTCCCATGCTGAGGCTGGCAAGTGTATACCTGTAGCTTGCTCACCTGACAGCTCACGAGCCTCAGAGACCCAGCATCGCACAGAAGCTTACGATGAGTGTGCTGAGAAGCAGAGAAGGCAGGAGCCTGGAACAGAGCTCAAGTACAACAGACTCCAGAGGTCTGCTCCCTCCTATGTGCCCAGCCTCTCTGAGCAGCAAAAGGCTGGGGCAGAGGAAACTTCTAACAATAAAGTCGGGTACACTGCAATACTGCAACCAGGGCCCGATAGTGCCAGAGTGTGCTAAAGTACACAGCTTGCAGGTTCACAGCAGGAACAGCAGATGTCCCAGAAGTGAGTGCTTAGCTCGAGGTGGAAGGGTAACAGGCGATGTCATTGTTTTTTTGTCAGTATAGATTTTTTCCAAGGAACAAGTATTACATGTATCATTTTGGAGTAAGTTTTAAATTAATTCTGTTCCTCTGGAACTTTATCCACATGCCCAAACATCCTTTCAGCAAGCATGTATTGGTGCCTCAGGTGTAATAAGGTACAACAGTAAAGAAGGTACCATAGGCCTGCTTTTTAAAAGCCTGGCCCAAAAAGAAGCTATGGTCAAGTATAACCCCAGCTGCCGGAGATGTTTCATACAGCCAAATCCACCCCAGAAAGGAAAAACTGTGAGAAAGTAATTGATCAGGAGCTACGATCACCCAAGCCAGGGCCTAGCCATGGCTCTGGCACTTACTGTGTATGACATATCAACCAGACCATAGAGCTAGAGTTGTTTAGCTAAAACCGGAGCTCAGGAACTATCATCACAGGCAGTGGCGAGGACCCAAGAATATGACATGTACATCCATGCCAGAGATCCTGGTGCTCACTGGGAGATCCCCATCACCCTGGCCCTCACTCCTATGTCCTCCAACCATCTTTCTTCCATCAGGAAAGTACCTCAGGAACCAAATCTTTTTGAGGAAGCTGCCAGGGATGACCCCAACCCCCACTCTACCAACCCAGAGAGCAGAAACTTAGAACATTGTGACCACATTACAAGAGGCAAGCTCTCCCTGAAAAGGAAGTGAAGAACTGTGTGAGGCATACGCAGCAACCTCCAGCCACAGGTCTGGCCAGGTAAGGAAGTTGAGCGCTGATCTGAGCATGTCCTCCAGACACAGGCATTTGATGGGGCAGCACTGTGGCAAAAGGGGCATGAGTTGAGCCTGTCTGACCTCAGTTTGTTGGAAATATTGGTGCCTTTGTGGAAAAAGAAGTGAAACATCTGTTCTACTCCCATCAGAATTAGACAGGGACATGTAGAAACGTGTCCCTTCAAATTTCCAGGGATCCTCTCCAAAAGTTTCCCTACACATCCTCTTTGCTCCTTAAGGGCCCCTGTCTAAATCAAAGAACCAGAGTACTGGCCCCCACTAATATTAACGCTGACAGCAGTAATTATGACGACGACAGCAATTTCTTTGCGTGCCCAGCCCAGGCACTTCCTCTGCACTGTCTCACTCTGCTAGTACAGTGTACCCCAGGAGGTAGATACTATTTCTCCCCCTCACAAATGGGGAATGCCAGGACACTTGGACCAGGATTTAAGTGAAGGTCTGACGTGAGATCAATGCCCTTAATACTGCACTAAGCTGCCTCACAGTCTAGGACCAGAAGCTTGAACTCTGGAGCCCTCAAACCTGGGTGCAACCCCTGGCACTGCCACTCTGGCTGTGGCTCCCTCGACAGGTCATGTGCCTCAACAGAAGGCTCCCAATTCCCCCACACAGGGTCACTATGTACATTAAATCAGAGAAGGAACCTGAAAGGGCTGGCTCAAAAGACATCAGTTGGATACAATATGGTCTTGGAGGAAAAACTGTTATTCACTCTGAAAAGAGAAAGTACCTCAATCAGCCACTTGTTTTGTACAAACTTTTGTAGCACTTGCTCAGCTTCCTTCTTCCTCATCTTCTTGCCTTTAAGTTGATCAACCAGGTTCAAAATATTTGTGGAAGATGCAAAACCAGTTTCAGAATCTATAATGAGTTCCAACTAGAAAAAATAGCATGTATACATTCATCTAATAAATCCACTGAAAACAACTTTTAAGTACTAATACCAACTCTTTCCAGGGATGTAATAATTTGATCATATAACAGGCAGAATTGTATACAGGTATGATCATTCAGAAAAACAATGTAACTATAAATGCCAAAAACTATAAACATACTGTCTTTTTTACTAGATGTTTTCCCCTATAACATAATACAAAATGAGTATCTTAATGAAGATCATCTCTCTTGGCCCCCACCCTCCCCTGTAGGTAGAGAGGCTAAGAAATGAGTAAGTGAATGAATGAAAATGCATAAGATGGTGGGCCTCCCTGGTGGTGCAAGGGGTTAAGATGCAACCTATGAAGCTATCCGTAGCCTCTGCCAGGGAGCTACCCACATGGCACAGCAGACCTCTCCTGACTCACCCACTGCTCCCCTCAGCAGTGTATTTCAGTCAGTCTGCCTGTTCTGTTCCTGTTTCTGGTGAATCCTCTCACCCCCCACACCTCTGGCCTGTACCCCAGATCTTGTGTGCATAAATAAATAAACCTTAAAAAAAAAAAAAAAGAAAACGCATAAGGCGGCACCTCTCCTACTCAAGGTTGTCGGGGCATCAAGGCTGGCATGAGTGGCAGGCCAGAGCCAGGAAAGGCAGAAGAGCAGAGCTAGAGTGGGCTAGGCAAAAAGCTAGCTCAGGAGATGCAGAGGCACTATTGGTCCAGGGCCAGGAAAGGCTGGCAGGCAAATTCCCCTAAAACTTCAGCCCAGGGCAGAGCCCCTGGGAAGACAGGCTTCCTGCACACACAACAGTGTGTCTGGTCTCTGCAAGCCTGTTCTCTGGGACTTCATCCTCAGAGACTTGGATTCCACAGATGTGGAATGAAACTGGAATGTCTGAATTAATTTTTATCACCCCTGCCATGATTATGTGCATCCAAGTGTTCAGCCAGCTGAATACTAAGAGGGCTGAGCAAAGAGCTCCAAAGTCAGTAGGCAGAGCAGTGCCCCAAAGTATGAACATGCAAATGGTTCAGTGGGCACCTTGTTAAAATTCAGGCCTGGATTTAGGAGTCTGGGTGAGGGCTGGGATTTAACCTTTCTAGCAGCAAGCTCCTAGGCGCTCCTGCTGCTGCTACCACCACAGGTGCAGACTACACAGAAAATAGTCAGGCACTAACACTTACCCACATCACATGCCCATGAGCCTGCTATGGTCAGCTAATGGAGATTCAAATCTGGACAAGTCCTTCTTTCCCAGGCAGCTAGGGTGACCTCCCCAGCAATCACCTGATGACTATGAATTCCAAATAAAGCACTTAATGACACCCCACACACACAAAGGGATTGGAGGGGGCAGTGGTGGTCCACTCAGATTGTAGTTTCCACTTCTTTTTCAAGATTTATTTTATTTATTTATGCATATAAGAGCTGGGGTGTAGGCCGGAGGTGGGGGGGGGAGGGGTGGTGGTGAGAAGTTTCACTGGAGACATAGTGGGGAACAGAACAGGCAGACTGACTGAAATACACTGCTGAGGGGAGCAGCAGGTGAGCCAGGAGAGGTCTGCTGCACCATGTGGGTCAGCTCCCTGGCCAGGGATCAAAATCATGCTGCAGTGGCTGCCAATAGCTTCATAGTGTAGAGACTTAACCCCTCGTGCCACCAGGGCGGCCCCTGTAGTTTCTATTTCTAATGGTAAAGACAGAAGTTTCCCATAAGAAGCCGAGGCAATGGGCAATGAAGTTACTATACTTACAGCCTTTCTAAACAGATCCAGTTCGTTCTCTGCAAAATCTGAGGCCATTTTAGAAATTGGAGTTGTTGCAAGATTCACCTAAGAAATAAGTCAGCATAAAGGTCAGGCTAATTCACTTGTTGGTCCTCCTCCCCTCCCCTGATCCCTCACTGATCACTGAGCACCTGTGTCCAAGCAGTATGGGCCATAGGGCAGGCCACAGGCTTTGTAATCAGTGTTACATTACAGACTTAAATCAATAGCCCCATCAGCATGTCTGATTCCTAAGTGATTTTAGAACTCCAAAGGCTATGTCAAACTCAGATGAATCTAGAAAATTTGTCTGTATGCTAATGGAGAAGGCACTAAGAAGTCTGGCAATAACAAAATCTGATTTACCTGTTTAAACCACCATTTCCATGACTATTTGACTCCAAAACCCTTTCTTGCAAGAAACAGAACCTGGGCTCCTTTGTGTGTGGCTGGTATGAACCTGATCTCCTCTGACCAGTCTAACCAAGGATGGGGGTCTTGTCAGCTTCTCCCCATCTATACTTACTTTACTCCCTAGCTGGGGTTGGAAATCTGAAAACAATGGGAGGTCCCACGGGGTCTCTTACAATGTGTGGTGTTCATCCCCCATTTTCAATTTTCACAACTCCCATGTTCCAAATGAAAAAGTATTTACTTCCTTAAATCCTAATATTCCATTCATTTGGGATGACTTTTTGCAGAGAATTATCCATAAATAAAATAGTCAATTGTCAGTGAACATGAGCTTGAGGTGGAGAGCCTAGGTGCCGGTTCTGGTTATCCCCAATTCTGATACCTGCAAAGGACATTCAGATACGAGGACCACAGAGACTGGGTGAGCAGAGAACAGGGCTGGGCCAGCTTCTGTTTCTTGCTCCCCTGTCTGGAAAGCCCATGCTGAGGCAAGGTGTTCCTTTACTCTGCACAAATGAGGACCTGGGGTCAGCCAGTCACAGTCCCATTTCTTCACAAATGCCACTAGAGGGCGCTGCTTTGCACTTACCAGGGCATAGATGGGTCTCCCATCATCCTCTGTCACTCCTTTCTTTATCTCAATGTACAGGGACTCCAAGACACTGTTAATGTTGTTGATGAAATCCTCCAACTTATCTACAGTAGCAGTGCCTGGAAATAAAGAGACCAAAAAAAAAAATGGGGGGAGGGGGGCAGGGAATGAAGACATCATTCCCTGTAGTGTGATTACTAATCTACTTAAGCACCTTCACTCCAGGTGCTCTGAACTTGCAAAGAGCTCCCACATACATGATCACAGCTCAGCACCTCCACCTTGTCCCAGCTTCACATACATTTCAAGCCTCTGTCACACATGTCAGGCATTGCTCTACTTTCTCTCTCTAGTTCACTGCCAAACACTGAGCACTTATGTATCTGGTCCCATGAGCTAAGCACTGGTGATACAGCAGTGAAGATCAACTACCACCCCAGTAAGAGCAACAGCTCACCTGAGTACTCACCATGGGAGAGGCCATTTGCGTTCTTTTCATCTAGTAATTAATCAATCCTGCCAATAGTCTCCCAAAGAGGCACTGGCAACCTCTTTCTAGCATATGTGAAAAGCCCAATGTGCAGACAGGAAGCTGACCTACCCAGCATTACCCCACTAGGCATAGTGAGCAGCTGTGAGCCAGACAGCCCAGTGAGAGCACCTGCGCTCTCTGACCCCTGACAACAGAGGCTCACAGACCAGAGATGAACAGGAAGCCAGCAACTGCTGTCCAAGGACCCCCTCTCACTCAGAGTGGTAAGGGTGGTCCCACCCAGTATTGCAGGTAACGGGGACGGATGAACCACTGGCTAGCCAGGGAGGAAGGGGGGGTGAATGCGGCTGCAAAGCAGGAGCCAGGTGGCATAAGGCCTACAAGTCAGGAGAGTGTGTGGCCTTTCTCCTTTGGGCAATGGAAGTCTTTCAGAGTCGCAAGCAGAGGACAGACACAGTCCGAGTCATGTCCCGGAACTGCCCTTTTGTAGGGGGCTTTCTTAAACCAAGAGTATGTATCACTGTTTTCACTTACTAAAATAATTTCAAGGGCCTCCCCTGGTGGCGCAGCGGTTGAGCCCTGGGCTGCGAAGCTGCCCGCAGCCTCTGCAGCGCCAGTTCGATCCCCAGCCGCCAGCAAGGGTCGCACATGGCATGCAGACTTACCCTGCCGCACCCGCTGCTCCCCTTGGCAGTGTATTTCATCAGTCTGCCTGCTCTGTTCCCCGCTCTGGCTCTGGTGAATCAGCTCACCCTCCCGCACTTCTGACTGTACCCAGTGCTTGTATAAATAAATATATCTTTAAAAAAAATAAAATAATTTCAAAAGATTTGTTCTTTAGTCACTCTGAGGGGAAAAAAACAGTAGGAAAACAGAAAATGTGATCCCATTTATGTTTTTAAAAAAAACTGATAAAACCAAGGAAACAACACTTCGGGGGAAAGGTCTGAAAGGCTGCCCACCTAGCTGGTGACCAAGGCCCTCACCAGGAAAGGGCACAAAGATAAAGGTGTTATCAAGGTACCTTAACTTTATCTGTGTTTGGTTTCTTACTGAGAAAGGTATTTTTAAGCTCCTTGTAGACATAGATGATTAAAGTTTAAGAAAAAAAAAATCACATTAGTGGCAGTGGAGGTTGCAACCACTTCAGCCATCAGCACTATAAAGGGGATGCAATGAGTGGCCCAGAAAATTAATAAGGATATCACAGGGGGAGATCTAACCTTTCTTTTAAAGTAGTCTAAGTTTTTTGAAATAGACAATTAGTTTGTGGCCATGGCAGACATCATGATGATGGTGTGACAATGAAACTTGGTCAGAGCTGCTGAAAATGTGGACCAGAGGGGAGCCACCATCCTATGTCCTCCCTCCCTGCCTGTGACCAGGGCCTTGCCTTCTCACTCGCGCTGCACCTACCAGTGACAAAAGCCAACTCAAATGGTACCTTCCTCCACAAACTATTCCCCCTGCCCCCAGAAAAAGTGCGTCTGCGTCCATGTGCTTTCTTCCCTCCATACCACACAAACCATCTCTGCATTGTGTGGGCCTGGCTATTCTTTACAAGTCTATGCACTCAGTGTGGCTAACCACAGAGCACCCAGCTGTGGGTGTGTGAGACTCAGGCTTCAAGAACCTTCTCTCAAAGACTAGTGACAGGATTCTTCATGGGCAGGAACCACCCCATCCACCCAGTATGACACAGTGGCAAGTCCCACCTCTCCCCGAAAGTAATAATTCATATTTTCCACTGAAAAGGCCTCTCCTGGGTGTCATTCAGAAAAATGTTCTCTGTGGGCAGATCAAAAGCATTCTAGTAAGTCGGACTTTCCAGACACCTTGTCCATACAGAGAGGAGCTAATAAGCACATTTCCCTTTTCCCCTACCTGTTGTTATACGTATGGGCTCATTTTTCAGAAACATGAACAAAATACTGTATTTTTAAGGAAAACAAACAACAACAAAAAAAAACCCACTTCCTATGGGTGTCCTTACTTATTGCAGAAACCAGTCATCTGCTTAGTTGTTCCCTTCATTCTTCTACCACAGAGCTTCTCCTATCAGGGGCAACTTCATGTCTGTCCCCACTGCTGGCACTGGACATGTTTCCAGCGCTTTC